AACTAAATGTATACTTAACATATAATCCAGCTCTTCTGCTCCTTGGTATTTACTCAGAGGAGTTGGTAATTTATGGAGTGACAGACACAAAGACACAGAATAAGACAGTGATGCTTATAATGCTTTTATTTACTACTGCCAAAACTTGGGAGTGGTATCTTCCTTCCTTCCTTCCTTCCTTCCTTCCTTCCTTCCTTCCTTCCTTCCTTCCTCCCTCCCTCCCTCCCTCCCTCCCTTCCTTCCTCTGAAACTCACTATGTAGACCAGGCTGGCCTTGAACTCACAGAGATCTGCCTGCCTATGCCACCCAAGTGCTGGGATTAAAGGCATGCGCCACCATGCCTGGCTGACAAGATATTTTCTTAAAAAGCAGATTGATAATAATAATAATCCAGGTGACGGATTATTATCTATCACTTAAAAGAAATAAGGTATCAAACCATGAAAAGATATTCAAGAAACTTAAATCCATATTAGTGAAAGAAATGAATATGAAAAAAGTTACATATTGTATGATCTCAACTACATAGCATTTGAACAAGCCAAAAGTAAGGAGACAGTGGAAGGGTCAAAGGTTACAAGAGGCTGTTGAGAGTAAGGGATGAATAGACAGAACACAGAGGATTTGTAAGGCAGCCAAACTATTCTGTAGGATACTACAACAGTGAATATGAGTTATCATCAGTATGTCTAAACTCATAGAATGTTCAACCCCAAGAGAAGGCCCTGTGTAAACAATAGACCTGAGGTAATAATGATGTAGCAATGCAGTTTATCACTTGAAACAAGTGTACCATCATGGTACCGGATATTGTAGTTCAGGAAATTGTGCAAGAACCAGGGGCATATGGGAACTCTAATTTCAATCTAATTTTCTGGTTAACCTGAAACTTTCATAAAAATAAATTTTATTAATTAAAAAAAAACTAGGAACATCTTCAGTTGATTCATTTCTAGAGTTTCCTCCTCAGATGTACCTACAATTTCTACCTGGATATAAAATATGTTTCTCACTGAAACCAAAAAATCTCACATCCATTGAGAAACAGTAACCATCACTTAATAAAATCCTCACTCTAAAGCAAACACTTTCAACTTCATCCATCTCTACTTTTAAATTTATGTTTTCTTTCATTCTTTTTTCTCTCTCAGTGCCCTTACTTCGGTTCTCTCCTGTTCTCCTGCTCCAGTACTCTATTCCATTTATTAAATATTCCTAGCATTATACCTCCAGTCACTCCTTGGTTTTATCAGGGTTTTGGCTCTCTCTTGTACAACTGTATTGAACCCTTAAAATCATCAGAATCCAGTGTTTGTCTTCACTTCTTTCACCAATAGCTTACAAATGAAAGTAGTTTATTTTTACTCTCTCCACACTCTACCATTGCTCAAAGAAATTTTTCTTGAGCAGGGTGGACATCAATATCTCCTGTAAATTTTGTTCAGTTTCCAAACTGTCACTATCTGATTTGGTGGGTTATATAGAGAAAAAGACACTAAATGTAAGTATGTTGGTTTAAAGTGCTCCCCTAAGTGCACAGTCTGATTCATATGCCAAATTAAAAACCATTATCCCAATGTTTTTAGTCATAATAATGATAATATTCCACTAACTGAAGAGTAAAATTAAATCAATCCTCTGTACCTGACAGAAGCCAAAAACAAACAAAAAGAAAGATTCTTGGTTGTTAATTCCAAGTATCTTCTCTTACTTGCTTCATTTCCACACCAACAAGATATGAAAATATCAGTTTAGCATACTCTACTCTTAATTACAGAAACAGAAGAAAAAACAGAAACTCAAGAAGGAAGTTGGGATGAGGAACTTTTTAGGAGAGAATGTATAAATTATTCAGAATGGTTTGGTATATTTTTCTTCAATAAATGAGTGTACAGACAGAGAAGATATAGACCTCTTAAATAAAAATGTTCATAGACTACTCAGCCTCTGCATCTCAAATTCTATTCACAAATATTAATCATGAAATTCAAGTGTTGCTTTTGGCAGGGTAATTAATGCAATTCAAAAAGTCACATAAAAAACACTTTGACAGGGCTGGAGAGATTTCTCTTGCAGAGGACCCAGGTTCAATTCCCAGCACTCACATGGTGGCTAACAACTGTCTTTAACTCTAAATCCAGGGGACTCAATGCCCTCTTCTGACCTCCGTGGGCACTGAATGACACAGGTGCACCTACCTACATGTAAGCAATACAATCATACACATAAAATAAAAATAATAAATAAAATATTCTTAAAAATCCAACCAAGCATGGTGGTGCATGCCTTTAATCCCGGCACTTGGGAGGCAGAGGCAGGCAGATCTCTGTGAGTTCATGGCCAGTCTGGTTTATATAGAGAGTTCCAGGCCAGTTGGGGCTGCAGGGAGACCCTGTCTCCAAACCATCAAAAAATTTTTTTTAATTCACTTTTACATTTAGGTGGATAGGGGAGAAGTTAAGTGAAGATACAAAAACAGAGGCTATTAATAGGTAGAACAGATTCTTTACTTTGCAGGCACAGAACATGGCTTAATCAAATAGTCAAACCCTGGCTAATTTTTGGTCATAACAATGCTCGTGATTATTTGCTTGCGATAGCATCTCCAATGTGTGAATTCATTCAGAAGATGAAAGCTGGGCATGGGAGTGTTGAGGCTGAGTGGGTCTAATGAGGACATTACGTTTTCTGATAAGAGCAGAGGTGATTGGAAGGCCAATAATGCTGGTGGATTTAAGAGATGAGATAATCAAAGTCAAGATGGAAGAAATGGTCAGACTAAGCTTTTTAAGGAATATACTATGAAAAGATTCATTTGCTAAAGGCTCAAACCACCTTAAGATTCAAGAGTATAGTGTAAATTTAGGTTACAGTTTTCCTTGTTTACATTAACTTCTAGTGGGTATCACCTGTTGTGGTGCATTTACATAGAGTACGTCTACATTCAGGCAGCACCTTATTTGTGTCTTTCTGAAAATGGCAAATTTTCCATTACACATTGATTTATCACTAGCTTTGGTCTCAGCCTTTCTAAACCTGGTGATTTTTTTCACTCATTTCTAGCTTTTACATCTCTTTTATAAGGATATACGTTAATAAAGATAAACATATGACAACATATTTGTTTTGTTATGCCTTATCCATATCCAAATAACTGTTTAAATACTAGCATTAAATAGAATTAAAATATTAAATAAAATTTCAGCATTGCAAATATTTTCTATTACTCCATGAAATCTACATGAAACGACTTATCTTTCTACTAGCAATTAATAGCATGCAACTATAAGTTTATTGGGCACTCACCACTTGCCAGGCAGCCCTAGTACTGGGGTAGCACGGATGACTGAAGTTCTAATTGTGAGAGAAAAATAAGTCTAGCGATATCAATTAAACAGAAAAAGGGATGATTCTTTACATCTGGGGAGGGCAATTTTTTTCCAAGAAGTTAGTTGTGAGGAGTTTTCAGGAATGAATAGGAGTTGATCAGGAATTTGGAAAAGGGAAAAGCCATCCATAACATTGCACTCAAGAATTTGGTAATGTTATCAACCAAGCCCTTTAAAATGGAGAAAATAAAAGAACGAGTAAAATAACAAGAAAACAGGAAGAAATTCTGCTAACGTTACACATGAGGCGGAGCAATTGTACGTTTAAACGTATTTCAGATCTGAGAGTAAATGTTTATAAAACAAGATTCACAATCAAGGGAAAGGGGTGGAGGAGGAGGAGGAAGTTCAGTTTGTTATGTTGTATTAACTTAAAACAAATCAGTTAAAAATATAAACATCTATGCTTGGGAACACATGTAACATCTCTCATAAAAAAAATCCTAAAATTGAAATTGAAAGCCTATGGGCCTTTATCCAATATTATCGCAACAGTTCTCTGAAGTTTTTTATTAGTACCAGTTTTAAAGTTTCTACAATGAATGTGCCCAAGTGATTGGCATCATCATACTCCTAACAATACACTCTGTATTGAAACAATGAACAGTACTCTACCTAACTTTTCAATTATTCAGACTTGCACACCTTCACATCTTTCAAAGTCTAGCCTCATACTGTTACTATCCAAAGGAATTCGTCTGGCTGTAAGTTTGGTCACTCCACCACTTCTCTCATTCAATTATGTCCTCTCAAATTCCATTACTTTTGCTTTTCTCCCGAAGGAACTCTTAAAAATATACGTGAATTACACAATCACAAAACCTATGACTGCAGCCAGAGCACGAACATACACACTAAAATCCAGTTACATTCCTCTGGGGGATGTTCACTGATCAAAATCAGCAGACCAGGAAAAAAGGGGAAAGCCTAAGCAGGAAGGTAACTCGTGTCTTTCCACTCCCCCAACTCCAGGCCCCCACCCCCTAGGGCGCCAACGTGACTTCTCAAGCACCCACCTACGCACACCCGCCCCACTGTCACCCGCCACTGCCTACAAAACAGTCCTAGCCTTTGTTAAAATGTCCAGGCACAATGGACCAGAAGAGGGACACGTTCCCGGGTAAAAGAAAGTCACACCCTCTTTTGCAACAGCCCAAGCCAACAACCCACCTCCCCCAAATCCTCTCCCTGGGCGGTAGAGAATGTTCCCGGCAACTTTGCACCCCAAGAAATCCCCGCAAGGGTGGAGGTAAGCCTGGGACACTGCTCAGGGGCATCAAGTAGGGGGACTGAACTTGAAGCTGGGCCACCCTCCAGCGCCCTTGGAGAACCTCCTAGTCTTGCCAAGCCCATGTGTGGACTTCTAGCCTCTAGACTCCCTTCTTGCAATTCCACTGCCGGTACACACCCTCGGCGACTCCCGCCACCAATCCTCTCCCCACGCGGCCCTGGCCGGATGAGCTCCAGCAGCGGCACCACCGACACAGCAGCAGGATTGATCAGTTTCCCCGAGCCAGTCAAAGTGAAGCCACATCCACCCGGATGCGTCCTGGGACGCTCAGCTGTGAGCACCTTCTCCCCCAGGAGTCCCGCGCAGCTGCCTCACTTACCTCGGGTCCCGCTCCGCTACTCCGGGCTCAGCACCACGCTGCGCCTGCGCGATCCCACTCCGGCGGAGCCTAGCAGGAGAGAGGAGCCAGCGGCTGCTCGCAAGAGCAGTGGGAAGCGACTGGGCAGGCTGGGGAGGAGTTAGGCAAGAAGGGGAGGTGCCTGGAGAGGTGGACAGCAAAAGGAGGGGCCGGGCCAGGCGGAGCGGGAAAGGGAAGAGTGGATCCTATGCTGCTTCCACCACCTCTGCCAGGAAGACAATTCAGTTGGAGCCATATGTTCTAGGTGTCCGTTAATAACACTGACAGAAAGAAAAGCTGCCATTGCTCCTCTGTACACCTCCCACAGCCACCCTTGAGCAAACCCGGTTTGGAGCAAGGCCAGGCAGTGTTGGAGCAGTGACTCCCCCCTCAATCATCTTGCCCCTCCAGCCTTTGAATTCTTTTCCTTTATCATTTCTCCTCATTGCACGTCATCCTCGGTCCACTTCAAGTTAGTGGCATGAAAATTTCTCATCCACAGACCTTATGAGAAGGTTTGTGTGTAAGCTCAGTCCCGGACTGGTGACTATCTACCCAACCATTGAGTGGTGTTGCAGCTCAGGGAATTTCCCTTTCCCCAGGGTCAAACTCTTGCCATCCGCTGTTCAGAACAACTTTTGGAGACAACAGCCTGACTGGGTCTTGCTATGTGACCCTAACTGGCTAGTACTCTCTAAGTAGTCCGGGCAGGTCTCTACCTCACAATCTTGCCTCAGCTTCCCAAATACTGGTATCCTCTGAAAAATAACGTTGATAAAATCCATTGGACTGTCTTTGAAAGGAGAACATATATTGTCAAATAAAATCTTCTTTGACTGTTATTTAGGTATTTGTCTGAGAAATTGAACCCTGGGAATTTTTTTTTTTTTTTTTTTTTTCCTATTTTTTGAAACTGGCTCTCCCGGTAGCCCCAACTGGCCTGGAACTTGCTATGTAGACCAAGCTGCCCTTGAACTCACAGAGATCCCCTAGCTTCTGCCTCCCGAGTGCTGGGACTCCCTGCCTGTGCCAGCCTTTTAAAAGCCTCTCTTAGAAATGGTATATAAGCCTGGAGTGGTGGTGCACACGGGTATTCCCAGCACTCACGGAGGCAGAAGCTAGGGGATCTCTGTGAGTTCAAGGACAGCCTGGTCTACATAGTCCCATGCCAGCTGGGGCTACAGGGAGACCCTGTCTCAAAAAATACCAAAAAAAAAAAAAAAAAAGAGTATATGAGAACATATTGTTGAAGTGAGAAATGAGGACTTCATCTTATGGTTAGAGGTCTTCTGGCAGTTAGTGTTTCAAGGAGCCTAAAGTGATTATTATTCTATGCTGCATGCATGCTTAGTTTTAAGTTCTCAGCTTTTCTGTTTAGACTGTGGTCAGCTGTGGCATGCCTTCAGATCAGCTATTAAAATAAACACACCTCGGTGAACCCAACATTGGGTGTGGGCTTGAAGTGATTTATTCCAAGCTAAATCTCCCTCCTCCCCCTCCTCCTCCTCCTCCTCTTCCTCCTCTTCCTCCTCTTCCTCCTCCTCCCCCTCCTCCTCCCCCTCCTCTTCCTCTCTCTCCTCCCCCTCCTCTTCTTCCTCTTCCTCCTCCTCCTTTTTACTTTAGTCATAATGGAATTAAGAAACATCTGGCTTCAAAAGAATTGTTACAGGGCCACACCAATAGTTCCTTCCCAATAAGTATTTCAATTGTGACTGGAACATTTTACGGGGAAGTCTGGTAATTGTCACTAAAGAGCTGAACATACTGAAATCCTTTCCATTAACTTTGTGGTTCTTCCATTTCTGTATTTTACAAAGCAGACTTTTTGAAGGCATTTCTATTTTGCATTTGTAAAATAAGCATTGGGGGGTCGTAGGAAGTGGTTGTTGCTGAGAGGTATGTTAGCAAATAATAGATACAGATTTTGAAGAATGAATTTTTAAATTTTATTTATTTTTATTTTATGTGTATGAGTGTTGTGCCTGCATGTATATAAGTACACCCATATTGTGCAGTGCCCACAGAGGACAAAGAGACTCTTGGATCCTCTGGAACTGGAGTTACACATCATTGTTAGGTGCCATGTGGGTGCTGGGATTCGAATCTGGGTCTTCTGCAAGAGCAGTCAGTGCTCTTAACTGCTGGGCCATCTCTCTAGCACTCAGAAGGAATCGTTGAATGCCTGAAAGTGGAGCTTTACCCATTCTTTTCACTAGTAAAATATTCCTCATTAAGAAGGTACTTTAAAAACACAGTGGGCTGGGCATGGTGGCACACGCCTTTAGTCCCAACAATAAGGAGACAGAAGCATGTGGATCTCTTTGAGTTCAAGGCCAGCCTGGTCTACATAGTGAGTTGCAGGCCATCTGGGGCTACAGGGAGATCCTGTCTCAAAAAAAGAAAAAAGAAAAAAGAAACACAGTGAGTCAATAAAGGTACTTGTAGCATCTCTAGTAGAAGTGGACAGGTAGGGGCTTCCACTTTTAATTTGATTACTGATTTTTTCTTCTTTTTCCCCTTAGTTTGTCAGGTTATTTTAGTGGAAGTAACAAAATACTAAATTGAAGTAGCTTAAGAAAAATGACAAAGTTATTGTGTAACCCAAATTGTGAAAGGTTCGGTCTGTTATTAGCCTTTGGTATAAATGAAACCAGAAAGTAGAATGTTTCAAATTCCAGTTCAGGCTCTCAATCTTTCCTCTCTCAGACAGGGCCATTCTTTCAGAACCTCCCAAAGTCACATACTACAGGCTTGGAATCATAACCTCTCAAGTTGAACCAGACAGAAGGTGTCTCTTTCTCTTACTTCAGGATTTTATTTTACTTTATTTATTTATTTATTTATTTATTTATTTATTTATTTATTTATTATTTATTTATCTTGCTCTTTTTGAGACAGAGTCTCCTTCAGGATTTTAAAGCACCAGCTAAAGAGTTTGATTGATCAAATTATCACAACTGCTTCTAATTGCTTCTGGACAGAAAAAGCATAGATATCATGAAAATGGGATGCCCAGTATAGCCACATGGTTGAAACAGAATAAAGAAAATGGGTATGTTTTCAGAAAAAGAGAAAGATACTAGATAGACAAAAATAAAAGGCTACACGCCATGAAACATCTATATTTAAGGAATACAGACTTAGAATTCTCTCCCTGTTTCTCTCTCTTCCTGTTTTCTCTCTCTCTCTCTCTCTCTCTCTCTCTCTCTCTCTCTCTCTCTCTCTCTCTAATTTGTGTATTTGTTTTCTATGGCTACTGTAATGAACTATACCACAAACATAATGAATGGATTGAAACACAAATTTATTATGTTACATTTTGGGGATTGGAAATGAAAGTGATGTGTCAGAAAAGTGGAATTCCTTTTGGCACACTCTGGGAGATTAATGCTTTAATCCCAAATGCTCCAAAATAATATGCAATGCCAGTTTAATTTTCCTTAAATTACTATTTCCACTATGCCTCTTACATAATAACTAAGGCAGGATTCACAATCTAATTTTAGAGAGATAGTATTCCAGTATCTGTTTCACCATCACTCCATTTCCCAGATATCCCATATTCTTCTACCCAGAGCCCTCCAAGGAGCCTCCTCCTCCAACAGCCCAGTCTCAGGCACACCAGCCATGTACAGATCTAGTTCTCTGGTTTACTGAAGTTGTTAATGATGCATACATCAAATACCTAACACTTTCTCTCTTGATTCTCAGATCTATAAGAACAACCAAGTACTGAACTATTTTTCCTCAAGTTAGAACAAAAGCCACATTTTCTTCTCAAATCAGCCTTTCCTCTTGAATTTTCCTTGTTAGTGATACCCCTATGCATTCCACTGCACACACTGAAGGGTTAAATCTCTCATAGTTGCTTTTCTCTGGATCCTGAGGACTTAACTCATTTTACATTCTGTATTTTACACATATTATTTTTGCTTCCCTTCAGACTCATCCTTAATCACCTGAGCTACAACCAACATGGACTCCCATTTCATTTCCCTGTCTTTAGTTTCTCCTAAATCCATCCCACCTGGCCCAATTTTCACAATTATCTTTTTTTAAAACACAAATATGATCAAACCACACCTCTCCTTAAAAATATTTTCTGAGTCTTATAGGGAGAAATATGAATGTGTCATTTAAGGCTGAGCATTCAACGTGCTTAATTCTCCACACTTTTAAGAGTTGAAAGTCTCTGCATTAACCACAGCTCACTGCAAAATGAAGCTTCTCTGACGCTGCCTGACAGCAGCACTAGTCTTTGGGCATACCATATAAAAGTATAAGAAGCAGTTGGACCAGGGGAACATCACAGAAAAGAACTGGAAAGCTTGTAAAAGCTGGAGAATGAGCTGGGCGTAGGGGCACATGCCTTTGATCCCAGCACTCGGGAGGCAGAGGCAGGGAGATCTCTGTGAGTTCCAGGCCAGCCAATCCATAGCCAATCCAGGCCAGCTGTGGCTACCCTGGCTCAAAAAGGCCAAAAAAAAAATGCTGGAGGATGGAGGGGGTGCTTTTGTTGTTGTTTGTTTGTTTATTTGTTTGTTTATAGTCCTTTGAGAGGGGGTATCCCTGTATCTCCAGCTGGCCTGGAGCTCATTATGTAGACCAGGCTGGCCTCAAACTCACAGATAACCACCTGCCTCTGCCTCCTGAGAGTGCTGGGATTAAAGGTGTGTGCCACCATGCCTGGAGAGAGGGGTGCATTGAAACTGTTTTGGGGGGGGAGAAAGAAACTCTGTTTTCGGGATGTGGCATGATCATTGCCATTATAAACACAGCAGATGTGCCGGGCATGGTGACACACGCCTTTAGTGCCAGCACTTGGGAGGCAGAGTCAGATGGATCCCTGTGCAGTCCAGGCCAGCTGGGATTACAGGGAGACCCTGTCTTAAAAAGACCAAAAGAAAACACACACACACACAAAAAAAAACCCACCACCACCACCAACAACAAAAACCAGCAGATGCTCCCATCAGCACAAAATTTGACATGCAGGAGCCGGGTGGAGAGGGAACTACTTGAGAAAGAGGGAGATAGCAAGAACAGGAGAGGGAGGGATATGGGAGGGTAACGAGTGGTGAATATGAACACAATA